TATAATATATATAGTTTATCTCATATATATATCAAGAATCTCAAAATACAGTTTATTTAGCATATATATAAGCACACAATAGACAAAATTGAAAAAAGCACATTTCTAAATTGATGTGTGAATAAAAATGCCATTCTTTATTTATAGATTATACTGATGTGGGAAATCAGATAATTGAAAGAGTCGACGAAAGTATATCATGTACAAAAAAAAATTTTTATACAACAAAATTACTTTGTAATAATAATTTTTAACTATAACAAAATAATATAATTTGCTTTGTGACTCATATATAATGTCTATAACAATATATAAATACATACAAAGTATGTTATAAAAAATATACAGTAAGCTCTATGCTATGTGAAATAGAAAATATTAGCATTAACTATATATGTCTACTGTAGGTTCCTATTTAAGATTCCTAATATCTCACTGCATTCATATTGAATTATAAGAAGGAATCATACGACTTCTTTCCTGTACTACACATCAAGATTAGATGTATAATGTAATTTGCATATATTTCACATTTCCAAGAAAAATAGATCTGGTCAATCAAGATCTTTACACTCTTTTACTAATCCATAAATTAAAAGACGATCTCTTTTCTTCAGTATATTTCACTATTTATGCTATCAAACGCGAATGGAAATATAAGAAAAAAAAATTATTTTGAAATACGTTTTTCGTTTCTAATAATTAAACAATCTAATAATTACACTTATTATTCACAGATCTTATAACTCAATGTGCAGCAAAGAAATAGGAAATAGGAACCTTATGGAGACGATATATTACAGTATCTATTTATCCAAATAAACTCTATTTAATTTTTCTTTGTGCAATGTTTTTATCATAGTTCAAAAAAAAGTTTATTAATAAAGCACATTATATTATCCTCTATCGATCAAACTTTGCCTCATAAAAACGATATAAAAATTATCTTTAAAAACAAATGAAAACCTGCCACATATATTTTCAAACAAATAAATTAAATTATTTATATATATAAAACATTGTATACTGTATGCCAAATGTAAAATCTCGTCTTTATTATTCGTGAATTTTAATGAACAACTAATAAACTAAGCAAACTCTTTTTCAATTGTTATATTCTGTTAATTATATTTTTTTATTAATAAAAATCTCCCTCTTCGATTTATTGCAAAAGATTTCTAGATGGAAAACTTCAATTTATATATATGTACTACTATTAATATTGTATTTTTTATCTTAATACCTTTGTTTTTGCTTTTATTCAACTTCTTGTTTTTTGCACTCTGTTTGAAACTTTATTGTAGTAGAACTGCTGACCTCGAGCAACTTCTTATAACGTTCTACCAAGTCGCTAATAGACCGTCTTCTTGAATTGTTTTCATGCTTTACAACTGTGCCTTGGTTCTCATCATTCACAAACTGTACTTCTGTAAAGTCATCTAGCTTGAGTTTATTTACTTTGGACTCATGATCGAGTTTGTCTCTCGTCTGTTCTTGATACATATCTCTCGAGATATTCTGTTTTATTGGAGTAAACTGTGCAGATGTAGATATACAAGGGATTGTAAGAGATTCTTCACTCAGATTAAAGTAACCCCTTGCTATAGCATCCAAATTAAAATCCGATATATTGGGCATCTCTCCTACTGTACTTGCAATGGTAGAAGAATTGGCTTGTACAGTAGATGGTAGAGAAATCATGCTAGAATTGGCTGTTTAAATTTTATAATAACTTTAATTTAATCAACATATAATTTGAAAATTTTATATGTATATTTTTTTAATATAAATGTGTTACAATAGTATTATTTGTATACAATTCAAACAAGATTGTTACAAACCTTTTATATTTTTATTCATGTATGTGGAAAATAACCGGGAATATTTTCCTGTTACTCTTTTGGACAATTTATTCATTTTAGGCGTCATAAAACGCAAACTCAAGCTTCGTTTATCGTTATTATCTAACGACATAGTGCTATCGATATTGATACGTGATACGAATAAATTCGTTCTCATATCTGGGGTATGGATCCTCTTGTATCGCATATATCTCGAGAATAACGATTTATGGGCAACTGCAAAAAATGAATATTGTATTAGTAACTACAATATTTCTTATAAATGAAAAATTGCAACGCATAATTTTCTAAGTTGTTAACTTACTTTCACCCGGAGTAAGTTGCAATAATCTCTGTAAATCATTCGTTTCATCGGCGCAGTTAGTATTAATTTTGATAAGAGGCGACGGCATGAGAAGCACGCTATTTACAAAGGGTAACACATTTTCTCTGGACATGTAATCCATATTTTTCTCACAAGAGATACTTTGTGTCTCCTCTATAGAATTTTTCATATTTGTCAAGATAGTTTTGAATATATTGTACATGGACTTCATATCATCTACACTCGCTTCCACTTGCAACAGGCATTGCGATAAGTCTACTAACTCATCTTTCCTCAGACATTGATACACTTGATAGAGTATTAAAGTGTACAGATGAATAAAATTGTGATATACTAATTGGTTATCATTATATAAATGATAAAGATAATGCTGAAAAAAAAAGAAACAAAATTGATATAATACATTATTAGATCGCGTGTGTGTGTGTGTGAATATAAATTATGATTGTTAATTGATATATAATTGCAGGAAGGAGAGATACATTATTTATTTACAATTGTACTCACCTGAATGTCAGGTGGAAATGGTAATTCCGATATCAGAGAGCAATTGATTTTTTCCAACTGTTTGCCATTTAGCACTTTTGCATCACTCAAGAGATTCACTATTATGCTACTTATATTCTCACATATTTTTTCCAGATCTTTCAAAATTGTGTTCTGTTTTTGTATGTAACGTATGTTTTTGTCTAAACTACTTTTCCACACTAAAAAGAAATCATATATATTTATTAGTTTTATATGCAATAAGACAAATTAATTCTCGGCACACAAAGTAAACAATAAAAGTAAATATGTTTCTAACTTTCTATAATCTCTGAATCCTCAACATTATTCAAACGTTGTTTTATGAAGGTAGAAACAGGTGCTGTAGTTATGCATTTCGTCACAAACTGTTTCTTGTCAAACAGTTCTGTTTTAATTTTAGCCAGTTGTTCCTTCTCTTCTCTAAAGTAAAAGGAAAAGCGAACAACTTTAAAAGTTTTTCATACTGGATTATCTTAGTAGAATATATATATAAAAAATAAAAATATTACGCCAATGCAAAATTCACTGCCTTTTCCATTTGTATGCAATTTCTATGATGGCTCAATGTATTACAAGCTACACTCGCTTTGGCCTGTTGTAGGTATGTTCTAATTAGATCAATTGCAGGACCTTGTTTCGGTGCAGATATAACTTCATGTTCACCTAAAAAAATAATAAATGATAATTAAATACATTGAGATTAATAAGCAAAATATATACATACATATATAATATATACATACATACATACATATATATATATATATATGTATATAACAAAGTATATATATAACAAAAATATATTTTTCTTATAATGCAGAAATACCTACCATTACGCATAAGATACCTCTTTAATGCAAGTTGAGATAATTTCCACATTATCAGCATAAACTTAGTACCACTTGCATGATGCAGATATGTAGCGAGTATATGTGGAAATCCCATATCAGGATTCTCCACAGCAATAATATTCAAATAGTCTTTGACATCATTACGATATTTTGCTTCCGTCTTCTTACACAATACTGGCCATTCAATTAGTTTTCTAAAACGCTCGGCATCACATATCATTAACAGATAATGAGAAACCTGTACAAATCCTGCAATATTCGGTTTATCGAATATTCCCTGCAACATGTATTATTTGTTATCAATAAAAACCAATAAAGTTAATATATGTGAAAGAAAAATATATTTAAGACTAAAACTCCATAAAATAGAGAAAAGTAAAATTCTTACCTCGCGAAAAACCTTTTTAAAATCATCACTTGGCGGGACTAATTGATTTAATAAAAAGACATTTCGATGAAAGGACGCGCTAACAGCCATTCTGCGATGCTACAACTGTACAAATACGATATGATAAATATATAATACAATATGATAAATATATTATAAATCTTATAATTAATATTAAGATAGTTTTCTCGTTTATGACAAAAAAAAAACTGATCGTAGAAAATTTATATTGTATGATTAATTAATATCAATACAATTCGTAGTGTGTTAATAACATATGTGCAACGCGATGCAAATACTCGATATTAATCATACAACTTGTAGGATATTAATCACATACAATGCAATGCAATTCTTCGATAGACACAGAAATTCAAGAACAGAAAAAGGCACCACAAAATACAAGAACTGTTTAAAAACACACAAAAAAACATATGTACTCAGTTAATAAACATTTGAATTTTTCAAGACCATCAGTTGTGGATGTTTCGCTTGAATCGAGATGGGAAACTTTAAGGTTATATTCCGTCTGACATACAAGTTTTGACGAATGCACTCTGATTGGTTGCTAAAAGCCTCTAGAAATTCTCTATCCGATAGCCAATCGATATATTCGACTCTTTTTGACATAACCACTGATATATAGGATATATATGGGAACTTTCCAGCAAGAAACACACATAAACACAAAATCATATGATTAGCTGTCAAATAAAAATTCTCTATTTAATTGCGTGACATTTGTGTCTATCTGTGTTTCCTTGCTCCCTATATATATATATATATATGTATATCGAGTGTTGAAGAAAGAGACAGAAGAATCTGAGTGTAGAAAGTGCAGACAAAGCGGACAAACCTAGTGCACTAGTAGGGATATGAACGTCGTGCAGCTCCAGCGACCATTTTTGTGATATCGCCGTTCCAGGTCGTTCGGCGAGGACGTTTCGTGCGGCGAGTAAAAAACGTCGTGGCACGACGATAATTTTGCAACTACGAGACCCCTGAGGGGAATCCACGTTCGTCGAGATCATCGACGAAACGCCGGTGAAGATACGCGATCTTCAACATGTCGTCGATGATACGCAGGATCGCACCGCCGCGCGAAGAAGGTTTGACGGAGCAGCGATAATTCGTCTCGGATCTGGGGAAAGAGAGTAACATCCGAGGACACCCGGCGAGGCCCAAATGCGTGTAATCGCGTTGTGAAAACATCGCGCAATCGGAATCTGTTCTCGTGCATCATGGCTCTTTACTATGCGGGAGCTTGATCGAGCCTATTCAGTCTCTTTCTCTCTCTCGCTCTCTCCATCTATCTCTTTCTCTCGGTGTCCCCCGCAATATATTAATTGATAATTGACGAAGGAAGAAGTTATCGTTTCGCTCTCGGACTCTAATCGAGACTGCAGGATATACGTAATACACAATGGCTGCAACCTTCGATCAGTACGACAAGTCGAGGTGAGTGTGAGAGAAAATTCCCATGTTTTGATTCATCCAGCAATCAATGTCATGTATATATGCGGGTATAATGCCGTTTGAAATTGCGGCTGCAATTTGCGTCGTGTCGACACACTCACTTCACGCCTCTTGCTTAAGTGCCACGATATAATTGTTATCTTGATGTGTATTGTCTTTCTGAGCACTGGATATATCATCCTAAGTCTGTGCAATGAATTATAATTATATGCTTCTCGAAGTGTCGTCTCTTGGACGAAGTATAAAAGACTTTCCAATTTTTTACATATCTTTTAAATCCATCAAATCAATCTCATAGATGTTTATGTTTCTTTTGGAACCATTTTCACAAACAATTAACTAATGTTCTGTCAGTTTCATCTCCTTCATGTTCTCTAGAAAAGAAAGAAATAATTTTTTATAGAAGAAATACTTATTAGCGAATATTTTTTCAAATGTTTTATTGACTTTTTATATACTGCTTAATTGACTTAAATGGACATTATTTTATTATTTTTATATTTTTTTTTTCAATTTGTCCTTTCTATTTTTTCTTATTTTAATTATTGTCATTTTTATAATTATGAACACTTTTATTTACAATAAATGGGTTGTATGATTTTATGCTATTATACTAAAGAAATTTTTTTCCCATTTAAATAAATGAATAAATAGGTACAGAATCAGAGAGTTGAAACTTTGTTAGCTTAGAATAACATTTGTAGAAACATGGTTGTTTTACAATTTTTCATTTATTTAAAAAAAAATTGTTATCTTTTTTTAGCAGCTTTAAATGAAATACATACAACTATCTGTGAAAGATTTAATTTATACATATTGTATTCATATGATCTGATTTTCTTTTAGCTGGTACTTTGGTGCTATGTCACGGCAGGATGCTTCCGACCTATTAATGGGTGAGAAAGAAGGTGGTGTATTTTTAGTACGAGATAGCACTTCCATACATGGCGATTTTGTACTATGCGTAAGAGAGGACAGTAAAGTTAGCCACTATATCATCAATAAAATTCAACAAGGAGATCAAATTCGGTATCGGATCGGAGATCAGATGTTTCCAGATATTCCTAGTCTTTTAGCTTTTTACAAACTGCACTATTTGGATACCACACCATTAATTAGGCCTGCTCCAAAGAAGACACAGAGGGTAATCGCCAAATATGATTTTGATGGCAATGATTCTGATGATTTACCCTTTAGGAAAGGTATAGTCAATTTTCTCAACATCACACGTATATGTAATTCATTTCAATTTGATAAAATTATTTTAATAAAATGATTGTAATAACAGGTGATATACTCACTGTAATATCAAAAGATGAAGAACAGTGGTGGACAGCTAGAAATAGCGTTGGACAAACTGGTTCGATACCAGTTCCATATGTTCAGAAATATGACGAGGATAGTCATATCATAATAGAAAATAATTCGCGGCCTGAGAGCGGGGGCAGTTCCGGCTCGAATTCAAATTCGGGACCTACAACACAGGTATCTCATGCAGAAATGACGGGACAAGCGACTGTAACGCGAAGATCGAACATTCAGAGAACATTACCGGCTTTCGCAAAAGTGAAACAGGCAAGGGTGCCGAACGCGTACGACAAAACTGCGTTAAAATTGGAAGTAGGTGACATGATAAAAGTGACAAAAACCAATATCAATGGACAGTGGGAGGGTGAGTTACATGGCAAGGTCGGACATTTCCCGTTTACGCATGTGGAATTTGTAGATAACGAGACTGGTGAAGACAATCAGGAGATTTAACAGAAATTCTCCGAGTGCGATGCATCACATGTGTGACAATGGGAAGAGAGACTCCTATATTATCAAAATTTAGATTATTAATAACATCTATTATATGTACCATTGCATAGATGTGCTTATATACACTCAAGTCTGAACAATTACACTTACATTTGATTGTGCCGCGTGTTATGTGCTATATAAGAAGAAACCCCAGATTTTTGTGCAATATGTCGAAACATGAGAAATGTTCAAAGATTTGTGTTAATATCTCTACAGTGTGTTAATACTTTAGTCACATGTACATCCGTAATCTCTATTAATACATTGCTAATTGTCCAAAGCACAAGCATAATTTTATAAAGTTATTAGATATAGATGTGTAAAATACAACACTCTCTCTCTCTATATATATATATTAGAATAAGACCCTATTATTTCATTAAACGGAAATTAAAACAACGTTTCAATTAAATAATAAATGAAACGATTTTTGTAAAAGATACAATATTTAAATGATATATTTTAATAGTTCTTGTGTAGGATATATCCTAATGGTTCTAATTTACAATTATTTATATGCAGATAATGAAACTCATTTCATTTTTTTCTTGCATAAATGTTAATATAATGCACTAGTTCAAAACATTCACGTAAATGTAAGATTTTATTGTTTATTCTAGGAATTTATTAATGTTTCAAAATGAATGATTCAGCACAAGGTTCTTTACTCGCGTTCAACGAGTGCCCATCATGGATTTGTTGATTTTATAAAAGATTATGTGTTAATGATAAACATACATGTTATCACTTTTATTTACGAATATTATAATAAGTAATATTCATAAAGCATATTTTCCCCCTGAAAAAATAATACTATTACAGTAATATTCCTTAAAGTTGGAATGGCATATTCTATACTGAATATAATATAATATTTTCTAGTCATGCAGTGACTATGATAAAAATATATTGTGTATATACTGCTGCTAACACTCTTCCATCTGAAATATTGAAATATAAACGAAAAGTACACACAGCTGTTTTACAGATTATAAAATCTATCTTTGTCATGGTACATATAATATCTGTTAGCCATATAGAGGTTGTGCCACACAATTGGAGCAACTCACATTGTGCTAAAAATTTGTATTTATATATAATGATGTGTGGAAAAGTTAATTGTATCAAATATATATGTATATTGTAGTACTATACTACTGATCATATCTACTATTTTATATTTCCACAATATAATTTTAAATCAGAAGTTATATACTGAATATATATATATAT